TGTGCCAGGGGGCCTGCTCACATAATTTACTTTCTGAATGAACCCTTTTGTTTATAGCTGAGATTTGGTCAGTTTAAAAGAAAATAGTGTGTTTAGATAATGATATTACATACTTCCTGTTAGGTACCCTCAGAATTTTTAAGTTAGGAAGGACAGCCATTTGTTGGATGGTGGCAGAACTGTGTTGAATCCACGTCTGGTTTTTTGAAGTGTTCTTTTGAAATTTGGATACTCTTGTTTCTTATACTTTTTATTTCCTAATGAATCTTTTTAAAGCTTCTTGAAGTTTTAAATCTTAAGTTTTATACTATGGAATAAGGTATTATTAACTTGATGAGGCAAGTCTTAGAGACTAAAAATTGTAACTGCTGTAACTAACTGGGACAAATCATAGCTGGCAGCGAAGCTCAAAGTTTAATCACGTCCAGCACGTATTAGCCGTTGGAGTCAGAGCTTGATGTGTTAAGCAGCTCTACCGTCTGTGTGTGGGTGTCTCTCCGTGTGTGCAAACATTCTGAGGCAAAGTAATCTTTTTAGTGGTTCTTTGGTTGAAAATTTTCAAGTGCTTTTCTCTTTTTTCATAATTAGATGAAGGAAAAACTCAAAATTAATGCCCGGAGCCATTCTGTTTAACATAATTTTAGCATCCAGATTGTTTCCTTCAGCAGAACTGAGCTGTTAAATAGCTTTTATTTATATTCATTCCAGTAGAAATTTAAGGAAGCTTCAACATGTAAATATTTTTGTCCCACCTGTATCATAGGTAAGTGAAATGCCCTAGGATGAGGTCTTTACTCTTTCAACTGGGTTATATTTTTAATGGAATTATTCTCCAGATTCTCAGATTCAGATACCCTTAACTAAACATCATCTCTCTTGAGAATAGAGGCCTGAGGTCTTCTGCTTCTCCTTTTCTAATTTGCTTTATCCAAAAGCCCTTAGATCCACTACACAAGGAAAGTATACCTCTCATTTATCCCAGTTCTTACTGTGGTTCACTGCCACAGGCTGTAAAAATCTCTGGGGCCCCCAAAGGAGGGAACATTCCAGAATACATAGTCCCAGAGAGAAAGAGTCTCGTGACAGGGGTTAAGCAGAAATATTGGAAAAGGTAGGACCTTATTCCATCTGGACAACCCACATTCAGTTGGAGTCTCAGAGGAGTGGAAAGAGGGAATGGTGAAGAATCAATATTTGAATATATGGTGGCTGAGAGTTTTTCAAAACTGATGAGAATTCTGTTTTGTTGGTGTGATTATCTGTTAGTTTTATAATCTGTGTTTTCTCAATAGTGTTTTTTTAAGATTTTTCTCTGGCTTGTTAGATTTCCTTAAACTGTAGTTCATATTATTCATCAAGTCTGAAATATACTTAGCCATTAACTCTTGAAAATTCTCTTCCCTACTTTCTCTGTTCTCTTCTTCCAAAGTCCCATTAGATGTTTGCCAGATCCTCCCATTCTAAACTCCATGTTTCTAAACCTTTCTCCTAGCTTCAGAATAAAGGTCTCCCTGAATTTTATTTTCTTCAAACCCATCCTCCAGTTCACTGTGTTTCTTCCCAGCTATGTTCCGTCTGCTGGTTAACCTATTAATTTTGTTGAATATACTTTTCATTTCTAGAAGTTCTGTTTCAAATTAACTAGTCTTTTTGTAGTATTTTGTGTGTGTGTGTGTTTTCATTTAATGCCTTGTTTCATGCTTTTAATCATTTTAAGTATCCATATCCAATGTCTATAGTTCTGGCTGTGTTGGATTAGTTTTATTTCACTCACGATTAATTGATTCTTGGTGTGTTTTGAAAATTTAGATTGTCAGCTTATACTTGGCAGAGCTTTGTCTGTGGGAAATCTTTGCTTGCAAAATCAAACATATATATCTCTGGAAGAACAATGGAGGTTTCCCACAGATGTTCCCGTGCCAAGCATAAGCTCACACAGGCCTGTAGTTGTGAATTCTCAGAAGAGAGTCTTCTCTCCTCTTCTTTGTCCTCTTCCTTTTCCTATTCTTTCTTTTAACCATCCAGATAGGCAAGACAGAGGAATTTGCCTGCCATCTTCTTTTCCTTCTGTATTATCTCCCTGTGCCACCAGAGTTTATCCTCCTTGACACTGTCCTTGATTATATTTTTTGTTTTGATCAGCTGTATTGAGGTATGATTCACATACAATAAAATGTGCCAATTTAAGATGTACAATTTGATGAATAATTACTGCCACAACCATAATAATAGAGCATTTCCATGACCAAAATCAAGTTCTCTTGAAACCCCTTTGCAGTCAGCCTCCTCTCCCCAACCTCCAATCTGTTTTCTAGTACTATAATTTTGCCTTTCCTAGAACTTAATGTAGGCTCATGTCTAGCTTTTTTTCACTTAACATAATGCATTTGTGATTTATCCATGTTCTTGCATGTGTTGGTAGTTGGATCCTTTTTATTGCTGAGTAATGTTCCATTGTATGGCTATACCATGATTTGTTTATCCATTCATTTGTTTATGGACATTTGGGTTTTCAGTTTGGGCCATTATGAATAAAGCTACTAGAGAATTCTTATATACGTCTTTGTGAAGATCTATATTTTCATTTCTCTTGGATAATACCTAGAAATGACCGGGTCACATGTTAAATATATATTTAACTTCATAAGGAGCTGCCAAAATGTTTTCCAACTTGGCTGTATCATTTTGATTTACCACCAGCAATACAGGAGTTCCGTTTGCTTCATGTCCTTACCAAGTGTTGGTATTATCAGTCTGAAATTTGGCCATTCTAATAGAGATATATTAGTATCTCTATTAGGATTTTAATTTATATTTCACAAACGAATAACAATTTTTAGCATTTTTTCATGTGCTTCTTAGGTAAAGTATCTTTTCAAATCTTTTGCACATTTTTTAATTGTGTTGTTTGTCTTTTTGCTATTAAGCCATAAAAGTTCTTTTCATATTCTGGACATGTCTTTTCTTGGATATATGATTTGTATATACTTTCTCCCAATCTGTAGCTTGAAATTCAATTTATAAACTATTTGTGTGTGTGTGTGGCTGTGTTGGGTCTTTGTTGCTGCACGCAGGCTTTCTCTAGTTGCCGCGAGCGGGGGCTACTCTTCATTGCAGTGCGTGGGCTTCTCATTGCGGTGGCTTCTCTTGTTGCAGAGCAGGGCTCTAGGCACATGGGCTTCAGTAGTTGTGGCGCACACGCTCTAGAGCACAGGCTCAGTAGTTGTGGCACACGGGCTTAGTCGCTCTGCAGCATGCGGGATCTTCCAGGACCAGGGCTCGAGCCCGTGTTCCCTACATTGGCAGGTGGATTCTTAACCATTGCGCCACCAGGGAAACCCCAATTTAGAAACTTTTTAATTAACGTGGTGCCATGTGCCTTCAGAAATCTTTGCCTAAATTTTGATTTTTTCAAATCATAGGGGTGGGTTATCTATTTAGTTGTTTAATTTCTCAGTAATATTTTGTAGTTTTCAGTGTACACATCTTACACATCAGATTTATCCGTGTTCAGTTTTTTGGTCCTGTTGTAAATGTTTTGTTCAGTTTTTTTTTTTAATTTCAAATTCTGATTGTTCTTTGCTGGCTTACAGAGTTGATTTCTATTTATTGGTCTTGTGTCCTGAGATCTAGTTCATTTTTAGTTCTAGTACCTTTTTTTGTATATTCTTTAGAATTACCTACATAGACAATTATGTCTTCTGTGAATGAAGACAGCTTTACTTCTTCCTTTCTAGTCTTTATGCCTTTTATTTCTTTTTCTTGCCTGCACAAACTGACTAGAAACTGTAGTACAATGTTGAGTAGAAGTGATGAAACCTATATCCTTGCCTTTAGGGAAATTTCCCTTTGGGACTGTCTTCTTCCCACCCCTACAATGTCCAGTGTCTTAAATCATATTTGAAGTGTTCAGATGGATTGGAAGGAACAATATTTAGGAGATGACTCCTACACTATGAAATTAGGATTTGTGTTTTAGACTAAAGAATGCTGTAGCCAAGAGTGAGTTTGTCATCTGTGACCTGTATTTTATTGTATAATACAGTCTGAGTGGAGATAATTTGAAATGGACATGCTAACATACTGTTGTAGGATGAGTTATAGTATAGGGTGGAAGTTGGCTTTGAATAAATTAAAGGACACCTTCATGAGAAAATAGGTAAGGCTACTATCAAACAAACATTCCCATCTTCTCCCTGTTCATAATCTAACAGGAAGTTTCATTTTCTAACCTTGCTATTCATTAGTACTAGGTGGCTTCAAGAAAACGGGATAGATAATCTTTGATTTGAAACTACCATCTTTTGACATTATAGTTCAACTTGTGAGTTCAACTGTATTGATTAGTTGCGTTGTTTAGGAGTTTAACCAAGGAAGTTAGATAAAAGGAAACTTTTCTGAAATAATTTTCCAGGTCATTAAATGAAATTCTTATGTGTTCAGAATGATCTTTTATTTTGCAAATTGCTACATATCTAGTGAGTCAGGTACCTCCTTCCTATTACTTTTAAGTCAGCATATTAGTAAGAGAAAGTCAGTATTGTAGAATACATGGGAAAAGGGAAAAACTTATAAAGCCTGTATTAAAACCTGAAACTTTGTAGCGTATGTGTTATGTGAATTTTGCAAGCAGATAGTCAAATAAGACATTTATTTACTTATTTAGTTATTAGTAATTTGAGGAATTATATTAACTGCTAAGACAGGAAGGCTTATTTGAAATACAAAGGTTACATTTATTGAAAAGGATTTGTTTCAGTTATGGTTTCTTAAATGGTGAGGAGCTGTTTTCCTTTAAGCTACTAAAAAATGTGGGCAATATCATGTCTCTGAAGTCTCTTTTTCTGATAACGTCCTTAGAAGATAATGTATATTGGCCAAGTAACGTTGAAAAATAGTTCAGTTACTTGAGGGCTAGTTGTAAAGGGTGCTTTGTTGTTGGGAATGCTAGGTGGGAGTGTTTTATTGCTGACATTTTATTTAAATTTTGTATCATTTAGATATTTGGATTTGAACTGCATTTTGGGATTTATCTACACTTAAAATGCCACCGGCAGTTGGAGGTCCAGTTGGATACACCCCCCCAGATGGAGGCTGGGGATGGGCAGTGGTAGTTGGAGCTTTCATTTCCATCGGCTTCTCCTATGCGTTTCCCAAATCTATTACTGTGTTCTTCAAAGAAATTGAAGGTATATTCAATGCCACCACCAGTGAAGTGTCATGGATATCTTCCATCATGTTGGCTGTCATGTATGGTGGAGGTAAGTACCCACTAAGGCCTGCTGTTTTAATTTTCATTAAGCAACCAGATGCTCTGTTTTAGGTAACTTTAAAAAAAAATGTTTTATTCGGTGAGGTGTTTTGAAATGGTATTTCTCAGAGCTTTATGTTTAGAGTCACATTTTTTATTCTTGTTAACAATGACAACTCTTGCTTTGTTTGTTGCACTATAGTATTCCGAAACAGAAATAAGAAATTGTGAGGATTTGTTCCAATTCCGTATCATTGAACTTAAAAAAGCTCTCAGAGGGGGAAAAAAAAATTTTTAAACTCTCAGAAAAATGACATGTGCACAACTTATTTTTCTTATTGCTCTCTGCTAGACTCTTGAGGTATAAATGTAAATAAAGATTTTAAAAAATTGATGTTGGGAGAATTAAAGTAAATCGGGCTAACCTCAATAGCACAGTTCAAAGTCTCAGGTAAAATCTTTTCATAGTGTTAGAATTAAAGAACTGGATAAAATCCTCCTTGTTTTGTTCCTTGTGATGTAATTAGTCCTAAAGCATTTCAGCTTCATCTTAAACTTAAGTTTTATCATTTTTTCCCTTTCTGTTTTCTTTGACATGTTGTGAAGGAAATGTGGAGAGTACGTTGCTTACCTTAATATCATTTAAAATACTGTGGGTTTGTTTGTTTGTTTGCCTTGGAACATCAAAACACAATTTAACATGTAAAAGTCAAAACCTCCCATAATAATAAAATATGTAGTTGCTTAGTTAGCAGAGATTCGAAAGTTAAGTGTATGTATTGTTTGGGATTGACAGGGTTTCATGTTGCTTATTTAGCCAAGCTTTCACTTTTTTAATCATAATTTAGTGCCTCAGATTATTTTCACATGAGCTCTTTAAAAGCCCAGTATAAAGATTCTGCAATTCAACTGTAAAACCTTAGCTTAGGCTTCTAATCTGGTGGCAGATTCAACCAATGTTTATTAAGCCGTATGCACATAGTCCTCACTAGGCTAGGTGTGAGTGATAGAGAACACTGATCTTGATCCCTGCCCTAGGGAAGCTTGTAATCCTCTTGAGACAATAATGTAATCTCATGAAACAGGAATAAGTATTTGAAGTCTGTAAATTAGTTCAGTGCTTAATCTCATTGCAGAAAAATGGGTAAGTTTTTTGTGCCTTTAAAATTTTGAACGTATGCCTGTTTTGTCTACTGTAAAATTAAGTGCTTTTTAAAAGAACGTAAGTGCTAAATTATAGTACTTACTTTTTTTTCATGAGCCCAGAGAAATCAAAAGGGATTTTGGACATTTTCTAGCTTCTGAGAACCAATAATTTTGGAGGCTCTGAACTTGATCTGCCAGGATTTCTAATCAGGTTTTGACTGATGGCTTGAAGAAATTGGCGTAAATATTATCCAGAGGTACTCCAGGTGCTCAGTGTACCTTTAAGCTGATTACAAACAAGAAGTTCACGTGCTGCAATTCAGAGCAAGAGCTTGAGAGCTGCTTGCATTTTGCATCAGAAGTAAGTGATGTCAGTTGTGCTAATTGCACATGACACTTTCTTTTGGGAAAACAGTTCCTTCTTTGTCCTCACCCAGAGATAACTAGCACATTTCTCTGAATTTGTGTTATAATAGGCCTACAAACTGTACCCCTCTCTATTTTTAATGATAGCTAATTGGGGCCATTCTTCCCGAAATAACTCTGAAAGATAAATTGCATATCAAGAGCCTTGTGGCATAATTTTTACTAAATGGGTTATTTTGTTTTGTTTGGCTCTTAGGTGGTATGACCCCATAAGAATTATATTTAAAACTGCCTTAATTCTTTAATTTGTACATTTCGGCCACACCCTCACCAATAATATGTTTTGAGTTGTGAGTGGTTTAGGGTTAAGTTTTCCTCCCTCCCTCCCTCCATGTGCTTTGGTTCACAGATACATACTGATACTTGTTAAAGTATATTTTTAAAGGAGAAGGTCTTAGTTACTTACTCTTGGTTTTTGTTTGAGGTTTTCCTTTTTTTTTTTTTTGCGGTACGCGGGCCTCTCACTGTTGTGGCCTCTCTCGTTGCGGAGCACAGTCTCCGGACGCGCAGTCTCAGCGGCCATGGCTCACGGACCTTAGCCGCTCCGCAGCATGTGGGATCTTCCCAGACCAAACCCTTGTCCCCTGCATCGGCAGGTGGACTCTCAACCAAAGAAAAGTAGGAGGGGGGCGGAGGAATTGGGAGATTGGGATTGACATATATACACTATTGAAACTATGTATAAAATAGATAACTAATGAGAACCTACTGTATGGCACAGGGAACTCTACTCGGTGCTCTGTGATGACCTAAATGGGAAGGAAATCCAAAAAAGAGGGGATATATGTATACGTAGAGCTGATTCATTTTGCTGTACAGTACTGTAAAGCAACTATACTCCAATAAAAATTAATTTTAAAAAATGAAAGTATAAATTCACATATTTTCAGTTCCACAGTAATGTCATTGTAACGTTCCTAGTTTAGAACTTAAAATACTGTAGACTTTACAGCATTAACTTCTACTTCACAGAGTCAACAGTGTGGCAGTATTTTTTTATCTTTGTAATTCTGACTATACAAAAATCTGTTTAATGCCTAATTTATATGGACATATTTCATGAATATTCTTTCAGTATTTAATTCTTTCATCATACACAAGCTGTAAATTCAAATTATTTCTAAAGCAGCTGTGGCCTAATATTTTCATGAAGTGACTTAGAAGTTCAATGAGAACTTGTTTATACACATCCTTGGTTGAGCCTGAAGTCTCTCCCGCAGCCGTTTCTTGACCAGCCCCTTAGAGAGAATTGGTCCTCCAAAATACTAGGATATCAAAAGCTTTCATTCCTTCTTGCATGTTTATTATATGTATGTATACATACCACAGTTTGAATATACATACCATAATTTGAAATTGGGTTCCTTGGGGCCAGAGCCTGTCCTTTTAATCATAGTGTACCATACTGCAACTCTGAATATAGTAGCACTAGAATATGAGTAATTTAGAATTTTTCATAGTGTTTATAGAAATAAAATATGTCAACATATGATCAGTAGTATATTCTGAATATGTGCATTCTGTGTCTGTTTTTAAAAATACTATCTTCTAGGGAGCTAAGTATAGAATAAACAGAATAAAGTCAGAATTTACTGTGCTAATAGAAGAGAAACTTGATTTGTGTGTCTTCTGCTTTATAACTTTGGAACTGTAGTTCCAAAAATACATATGTAATGGGGAGAAAATGGGCTGGATTCAAAACTTGGTTCTCACTAGCTGCAAGTTCAAATATTAGTTCTTCTTGTGTCCCCTTCCCTACTGATGCATTGCAGTGACCCTTTCTTATTTGCAGTCATCTGCCTTAACAAGGCAGACATGTTATGGTGTCGTGTAAACAAAGTTGTCATCTCCAGAGTCCAGAGCCATGAAGTAGGGACATAAGTATTATAAATAAATGAAATTCAGAGAATGTCAAATGTCATTCGTTTGTAATCAGCAAATATTGTTAGTCTAAGAGTTGTGTTACAGCTCTTAAAACATTGTTTGCTTTAGATAAGACTCATAATTAAGACTTAAAATTTTGGAAAAGGGGAATTACAGTTTATACCTATTTGTAGCAAGTAAGGAGAGGCCATTTGATTTTTTTGTATTTGAAAACTGATGCATAAAATCTTTTTATTTGTGATCCTTTTAACACTACACTTTTGTTTGGTTTCTTCTCTCACATTAAAGAAAAAGTGATTTTTTGGTATGCATCTCTCTAGCTGAGGAGATTTAATCTGGTTTATGTTGTTAAACCTGAGAATGTTTTGACCATTATCTGACAATCTTCTACAAACATTTTTTTATAGTTTTGCTGTCACAAAACAGCAGTATAGGCACAGAACCTGGTTAACCCTAGAAGACATTCCATTCAATACCTGAGATATCTAGGTGTAAATGGGAACAGTTTTGTTTTGTTTTGTTTTAAATTTAGATGTCCTAATTGCAAAACTACTGAACTTGGGGGAAAAATTATGTATTTTGCCTTTGTTTTTTCTTCTTTTTAAAAAATATGACACAAACTACACTTATGATGATGTGTAAAGAATACTCTTAAAATCTCTCATCAGTCTGCCTATCCCAAAAATTAACATAGAGCAAACTTACTAAATATGTGTTGATCATATCCTAGATAAATCAAGAAGCCTATGAACGTCTGTTACCAAGGCTTTCAGCCTATTATGCCTAATAAGAGAAAGATTAAGGAAAGACTAGAGTCTTTTATATTTTAGTAAAATTCCATCCAAGATTTCAAGATAGAGAAGATACACAATTAATGATTCTTCTAGCATCTTTATTTTCCAGCACACATACCTATGATTATGAAATAATTATAGATAACAATATTCTTACCATTGCCTTTTGTTGTATCTGCTTATTTGGAAGGACTTGTCGTTTAGTGCCATCAATGCCTTGTGTACCACTAAATTTTTGATTATCTCTTAGGTCCTATCAGCAGTATCCTGGTGAATAAATATGGCAGTCGTCCAATCATGATTGTTGGCGGCTGCTTGTCAGGCTGTGGCTTGATCGCAGCTTCCTTCTGTAACACTGTGCAGGAACTTTACTTGTGTGTCGGAGTCATTGGAGGTGAGTTGATTCATTTTCAAGCATTAATATATTGCTGGCTATTTGGTATTCACCTGCATTGGTCTTTCAGATCTTTTGAGTGAAAGTCCCTCCTTATAGAAATTATCATTTTGACAACCTGTTAATTTAAGAGCAATAGAAAATCAAGTTTTAAAAAGAAATTGCTGTCATACAGTAGGTGTACATTGTTGAATAAATGAATTGAAAGAAATGATTGTATCCCTTGTCCTAAGAATAGTCAGTGATTTGTAGATAAAATGTGTCCGGCAGTCGTTGCAAGGGCGGTCGTTGGTTACTATCTCTGTCTCACTCTCTTTTTAAAAAAAAATTTATTTATTTATTTGTTTGTTTATGGCTGTGTTAGGTCTTTATTGCTGCGCATAGCCTTTCTGTAGTTGTGGCGAGCGGCGGCTAGTCTTTGTTGCGGTGCGCGGGCTTCTCATTGTGGTGGCTTCTCTTGTTGCAGAGCGCGGGCTACTCTTCATTGCGGAGCGCGGGTTTCTCGTTGCGGTGGCTTCTCTTGTTGCAGAGCACGGGCTCTAGGTGCACGGGCTTCACTAGTTGTGGCTCGCGGGCTCTAGAGCGCAGACTCAGTAGTTGTGGCGCACGGGCTTAGTTGCTCCGTGGCATGTGGCATCTTCCCAGACCAGGAAGGGCTCGAACCCACGTTCCCTCTGTTGTCAGGCGGATTCTTAACCCCTGTGCCACCAGGGAAGTCCTTTCCCCCTTACTTCAATAGCCAAATTAAGATAATGAACTGCTGATGAGTATGATAAAGATTATGTATGACTTCACAGTCCAGAGACTTTGACTACTAACATTTTTATGTATATATATCCTTCCCAACTTTTTTCTATACACAAACATAACTTTTTTCAGAACAAAAAGGGATACGGTTACATAAAGTATTTTGTAACCAGTTTTTGTCACTTAAGAGCATATCATGAACAACAACCATATGTATGTTGGGCACTGTCTACATGCTGTGGGCATAGGGCAACAAGTCCAGCAAAGTCGTGCTGTTTCATGGGAAGAGGCAGACACTGCTACTCAGAAATAAATAAGAAAAATCAGGGAGTGATAAATTCTATACAGAGACCTTGCTGAAAGAGATGACCTTAATAGAGGAACAGCAGGGAACTAGCTTTGTGAAAATCTAGGGGAACATAGGCCCTAAATCAGCAGCATGCTTGTTAGCACAGGTGAGAATGGTCTGGTATGAGATCTGGGAGGTAAGGTCAGGGTAAAGGTTATGGACAGAAAGCCAACAGCAGGTTTGCAATAGGGGAGTGACCTAGCCTAGTTTACTGGTTTAAGTCTCTGTGAATAGCTTAGACATAAATGGTAGGGAGCAAGCAGGGGCCAGGGAAGAGCATCTCTAAGTTATTTGAATATTTACTTATACTAGCACCACTTATTGAGTAATACTTGTTGCAGTAATTTAAAATATTACTTTTATCGTACATTAAATGTTTATATATATTTTAGGTATATTCCTGGACTTTCTGTCCACTTTCTTCGTTCAGTGTTTACCTATTCCTGAGTCAGAGTCACACTATTCTATTGATTGTAGCTTTTTAAAGTCCATTTTAAATATCTGTTCTGTTTAGTCCCATCCTGCATCACCCAAAATTTTCTGGTTGACTCCCACGTGTTCTCTAGTATGTTTTAGAATCATTTTACCTCATCTTCAAAATGAAATGCACTGATATTGTCATTGGCATCACGTCAAGTTAGCACTTACATTTGGGGAGTATTGACATCTTGGCAATGTTGTGTTTAATTATACAAAAACTTTGTGTGTTGGTTTTAATTCTCTGGCCCTTCAGGAAAGTTATACAATTTAGCCATTATAAATTGCACACTAAAGTTTTTGGTGCTGTTGTAAAAGGAATAATTTTGTATTGCATATTCTATTTTAAAAACTGTTTTTAAAACTCTATTTGATAACAGTCTCCTTAATTACATTCTTTGCTTATAATGATCCTTCACGTGACTTGCCAGATTTGACAGTTAATCACCTTCAAATAATATAAATAACAATTATAAAAATAACAACTAACATTTATTGAGTGCTTACTACATGCCAGGCACTAAGTTCTTCAGTCACAGCAGTGCTGTGCGCCTGTTTTACATACCATGAAACAGTCACAGGAGGGCAACGTGTCTGACATTACACAGCCAATAAGTGATGATGATGAAATTTGAACCTACATAGTCTGGTTTTATTTATTTATTTATTTTTTCACCACACAGTTGATCCCCTTACTCATTTTGCCCTCTGCCCCTTTTTCTCTGGTGACCACTACTCTGTTCTCTATATCTATGTAATTGTTTGGTTTGGTTTGTTCATTTATTTTGTTTTTGTTTGTTGGTTTTGTATTCCACATATGAATGAAATCATTATGGTATTTGTCTTTCTCCATCTGACTTATTTTACTTGGCATAATGCCCTCAAGCTCCATCCACGTTGTCAGAAATAGCAACATTTCATCTTTTATGGCTGAGTAGTATTTCATTATGTGTGTGTGTGAGGGGGGTATGTATATGTATGTGTGTGTATATATATATATATATATATATATATATATATATATACACATCAACGATCTTTATCCATTTGATCATTGATGGGCACTTAGGTTGTTTCCATGTCTTGGCTATTGTAAATAATGTTGTGATGAACATGGGTGGGTGCCGTTATCTTTTCAAATTAAGTGTTCTTTTGTATTCTTTGGGTAAATACACAGAAGCGGGATACCTGGATCATATGGTTGTTCAAGTCTTAATTTTTTTAGGAATCTCCATACTGTGTTCCACAGTGGCTGTACCAGTTTATTCCCACCAACAGTGTATGAGTGTTACCTTTTCTCCACATCCTCGCCAACAGTTGTCATTTCTTGTTTTTGGTAATAGCCATTCTGACAGGTATGAGGTGATCTCATTGTGGTTTTGATTTGCATTTCCCTAATAATTAGTGATGTTGAATATCTTTTCATGTGCCTGTTCATCTGTATGTCTTCTTTGGAAAAATGTCTGTTCAACTGCTCTGCCTTTTTTTTTTGTTTTGGCTACTCCTCACAGCATGCGGGATCTTAGATCCTTAACCAGGGATCGAACCCATGCCCCCTGCAGTGGAAGCTTTGAGTCTTAACCACTGGACTGACAGGGAAGTCCCAACTCTGCCCATTTTATAATTGGGTTTTTTTGTTGTTGTTGAATTGTATGAGTTCTTTATATATTTTGGACATTACCCCTTATCAGATACAGCATTTGCAAATGACTTCTCCCATTCAGTAGGTTCTCTTTTCATTTTATTGATCCACTTCCTTTGCTATGCAGAAGCAATTTGATGTGATCCCATTTGTTTATTTTTGCTTTGGTTTTCTTCGCCTGAGGAGGAGACATATCTAGAAATATATTGCTAAGACCATACTGCCTGCATTTTCTTCTAGGAATTTTATGGTTTCAGATCTTATATTCAAGTCTTTAATCCATTTTGAATCAATTTTTGTGTTTGGTGTGAGATAGTGGTCTAGGTTTTTTGTTTTTTGGTTTATTTTGGCATTGGCTGTCTGGTTTTCCCAACACCATTTACTGAGGAGACTATCCTTTCTTACTATATGTTCTTTGTTCCTCTGCTGTAAATTAATTGTCCATGTATGCATGGGTTTATTTCTGGGCTTTCAATTCTGTTCCATAGATCTATGTATCTATTTCTCTGCCACTACAATGCTGTTTTGATTATTATGGCTTTGTAGTATAGTTTGAAAGCAGGGAGTGTGCTACCTCCAGCTTTGTTCATTTTTCTCAGGATTGCTTTGGCTATTCGGGGTCTTTTGTGGTTCCATATAAATTTTAGAATTTTTTGTTCTATTTCTGTGAATAATGTCCTTGGGACTTTGATAGGGATTACGTTGAACCTGTAGATTGCTTTAGGTAATAAGGACATTTTGACAATGTTGATTCTTCCAATCCATGAGCACAAGATATCTTTCCATTGATTTGTATCTTCAATTTCTTTGAACAGTGTTTTATAGTTTTCAGGGTGCAAATCTTTAACCTCCTTGGTTAAATTTATTCCTAGATATTTTATTCTTTTTCTTAGGATTATAAATGGGATTGTTAATTTCTGATAGCTCATTGTTAGCATATAGAAATGTAACAGATTTTGACTTATACTGCTTTTGTATGCTGCAATTTTATTGTATTTGTTTATTATTTCTGATAATTTCTTGGTGGAGTCTTCAGGGTTTTCTATACATAAAATCATGACAGTCTACAAACTGACAGTTTTACTTCCTTTCCAATTTGGATGCCCTTTCTTTCTTTTTCTTGCCGAATTACTCTGGCTAGTCCACATAGCTGGCTTTAGAGCTCACACTTTAAACCGCTATACAATATTGTGTTGTACTTTCCATTACTTATATCTTTTTTTAAGTTTATTTTTCATTTTATTGTTTATTGAGGTATAGTTGGTTTACAGTATTAAGTTTCAGGTGTGTAGCACAGTGATTCACAATTTTTAAAGGTTATATTCCATTTATAGTTATTATAAAATATTGGCTATATTCTCTGTGTGGTACAGTAGATCCTTGTAGCTTATTTTATATATAATACTTTGTACCTCCTAATTCCCTACCACAATCTTACCCCTCACCCCCTTCCCTCTCTCCACTGTTAACCACCAATTTGTTCTCTATGAGTCTGTTTCTTTTCTATTATATTTGCTAGTTTGTTTTATTTTTTAGATTCCACATATAATTGGTAACATACAGTATTTGCATTACTCTCTCTCTAACTTATCTTATTTCACTTAGCATAATAACCCTCCAAGTCCATCCATGTTGTTCCAAATGGCAAATTTTTATTCCTTTTTTATGGCTGAGTAGTATTCCATTGGGGGGAATTTTATATATATAATATATATAATATATATCTCCACATCTTCTTTATTCATTCTTCTGTTGGTGGACACTTAGGTTGCTTCCATATCTTGGCAACTGTAAATAACGCTGTCATGAACATTGGGTCTTTTGTAGTTCCATGTAAATTTTAGAATTTTTTGTTCTATTTCTGTGAAAAATGTCCTTGGGATTTTGATAGGGATTGCACTGAACATGTAGGTTGCTTTAGGTAATAAGGACATTTTGACAATGTTAATTCTTCTAATCCATGAGCACAGAATATCTTTCCATTTATTTATATCTTTTTGAATTATATACCTCTTAATTTCTTTGTCTGGTTAAGTAATGCCAAATATGTTTCTGACATTTATTGGAGTATGTGATTCTTTTTTCACCCCCTCTCCCCAGGTCTTGGGCTTGCCTTCAACTTGAATCCAGCTTTAACCATGATTGGCAAGTATTTCTACAAGAGGCGACCGTTGGCAAATGGACTGGCCATGGCAGGCAGCCCTGTGTTCCTCTCTACCCTGGCCCCCCTTAATCAGGCTTTCTTTGGTATCTATGGCTGGAGAGGAAGCTTCCTAATTCTTGGGGGCTTACTATTAAACTGCTGTGTGGCTGGAGCTCTGATGAGACCAATAGGGCCCAAGCCAACCACTGCAGGGAGATATAAGTCTAAAGAATCCCTTCAGGAAGCTGGAAAATCCGACGCAAAAAAGGGGGCAAGTGATGCAAATACAGATCTCATTGGAGGAAATCCGAAAGAAGAGAAAAGATCAGTCTTCCAAACACTTAATAAATTCCTGGACTTATCCCTGTTCAAGCACAGAGGCTTTTTGCTCTACCTGTCTGGAAATGTGCTCATGTTTTTTGGACTATTTACACCTTTGGTCTTTCTTAGTAATTATGGCAAGAGTCAGCATTACTCTAGTGAGAAGTCTGCCTTCCTTCTTTCCATTCTGGCTTTTGTTGACATGGTAGCCAGACCTTCTATGGGACTTGTAGCCAACACAAAGTGGATAAGACCTCGAGTTCAGTATTTTTTTGCTGCTTCTATTATTGCAAATGGAGTTTGTCATCTGGCAGCACCTTTGTCCTCTAGCTATATAGGATTCTGTGTCTATGCGGGATTCTTCGGATTTGCATTTGGGTGGCTCAGCTCAGTATTGTTTGAAACGCTGATGGACCTTGTTGGACCCCAGAGGTTCTCCAGTGCTGTGGGATTGGTGACCATTGTGGAATGCTGTCCTGTCCTGCTGGGGCCACCACTTTTAGGTATAGTATGTCTCCCTATTTCTATGGTTCTAATAACATAAAACAGAAGATTACGAAGGTGACAGAAAGCAGAAATTGGTGAGCTGCTTGATAGTCTTTCTTCGCTTCTGTACCCTCAGTGCTGGCACAATGCTTGGTACAGCGTAATTGCTCAAATAATAGAACTGAATTAAAGTGAATCATCAAGCTGAAAGAGGAATAAAAAACTGTTACACACTTAAGTATGTATAATAATTTTTCCTGATAAAAAAACTAACCTGTTTATTGTAGAAAAATGTATGTATAACCACCTTTAAAATACTGTTGGTGATTTCTTTTTAATTGTGGAATTTATTCAGCAGTAATATTTAAAATAATAACAGTAGGTACCAGGTGAGGGCTCACAGTATACCAGGGACTGTCCTAATCTTTTTCTGTATTTTGTCATATATTACAAGTGTGTGATGTCGGACTATTATTGTTCCTGCTTTATAAATAAAGAAATAGAGGATTCTAAAAGTGAAATAACTTGTCCAAGATCACACAGCTAGTAAGTGACAATAAAACCTGATGTATTATTCTCTTAAGAATGCTAAATGGTTTACATTTTTAAATTATTATTAATACAGAATGCAACTATAATTTGGACTTCGGGATGTGAGTCATGCTTTTGAGATTATGTACTATAAAGTAAGGAAGGATACATAACAGAAGATCCACTACTGACCTGTCCACCCTTTCTCCTCCCTATATATACCCAAGGAGACTCCAAATCCTGTCCGTTTTTGCTTCCTAAATCTCTTTCTAATCTGCCCGTTTGCTCTCCGTTTGCTCTCCATCACAACTACCACTCTTATCCAAATCTTCTATCTTCTATCAGTAGCCTTCTAACTTTACCCATATCCACCCTAGCTGTTCTTCGTCTCTTAGAACACTCCAGTTGCTTCCCATGTTCTTAGGGTGAAGATCAGATTCCCTGCTGTGGCCTACTAGGTCCTGCGTGGCCTGGCCCACCTGTGTCTCCAGCCTCATTTCCCACCACTCAGTTTGCTCTCTCTGCTTCTCCTCTCACACCCTGTGCTTCCTCCTACCACCTGCCTTTGCACTCGCTGTTCTCTGCCCTGAGCCTTTTCCCATCTCCCTTCTCCTTGATAACTCCTATCCTATAAGTCTTGGCTAAGGTTACACTTTAAGAAAAGGCTTCCTGACCCTAATTGCTGGGCTAAAACCCCTATTTTCTGCCTTCAGACCCTCCTTGTAGCACTTGTCACAGTCTGTATAGTTATTGGATTAACACTTCTCTTCTCCACTGAGCTGTGGATGTTACCTCCTTTGCTCACCCTTAACTCAGGGCCTAGCAGACCCAGGGCCGTGTGTATATTTAGAGAATCAATAAGTATTGCTGAGTGCATGATGCCCTATGTTGGAAAACCGTATGGAATTATATTTGAATTGGTTATTATGTCCTTTATATGTGTAGGGTTTTCCATAGTTTAATAAATACTATTTTGAGATGCTAATAAATTTTACTATAACAAGGGATTCATGGCCGAGAAAAGTTTGGAAACGCCAAAGTAAATAAGTTTCTTTACTATCAGGTCTAATAAAGCCTTTAATAGAAAAGACTATGTGTCATTTCCAAATTTACTTGACTTTGGAAACACTAGGGAGTAACCCTGTAGCACAGAAGTTATGGTGCAGGCCTCAGAGTCAGACTTGCTGGGTTGAATCAGCCAACCTGTTTCACAAGCTTTGTGACCTTGGACGAGTCACTTAAGGTTTCTGTACTTCAGTTTTTCTGTTATACAGTGGGGACGATGATAGAGGATTCCTGTTTTAAGGAATTAAGCTTCCTGTTGTGAGGATTAAGCACTTAGAATGGTGGAAAGGTGTTGCCGTTAGTTAATGTTAGCAGAGCGTGAGTGTTCACAGGAACGCCCTTTGGGAAATGCTGATGTCAGAGAAAGTGCATTGGCCTGGGAGACTGGAATTAGCTCTATGGCCTTGGGCAAGACTACTAAACCTCTTTTGAGCAACAAATTTTTCCATTGAATATTGAGAGGATTGACTCTAGGTGGTCTCTAGGATTTTCCCAATTCAAATTTGCCAAGATTTAATTATTTTCAAGTTCCTAAAGTTAACAGACTGTGCAGGGCCATCCAAAATCAGTGTGACATTTTAAGTAAAAGATCAGATAATTATGAGCAGTTTCTTTTTAGACTAATTAGTCATTTATGGGCTCATTGAATGGATTCTTAAGCTTTATTTGGGAAAGGGCGTAACTGTCTACCCACATAATTTTTTCTTTTTTTCTTTTTGACATCTTTAGGTCGTCTCAATGACATATATGGAGACTACAAATACACATACTGGGCATGTGGTATAATCCTTATTGTCGCAGGCATCTATCTTTTCATCGGCATGGGCATCAATTACCGACTTCTTGCAAAAGAACAGAAAGCTGAGCAGCAGCAGAAAAAGGAAAGTAAAGAGGAGGAGACCAGTATAGATGTTGCTGAGAAGCCAAAAGAAGTTACCGATGCAGCAGAATCTCTGGAGCCTAAAGGCATAGAAGGAGGCCCCAAGGAGGAGGAGAGTCCAGTTTGAACCTGTGGGGCTGATGGGTAAATGGAGCAGCTCATGACCCCAAATGTTCTATTGGCCTGTGATCTACCAGTGGTGCTCAATGCAAATACTGGACATTTCATACCAGGGGTTCATTGATGGAATTTTTGTTTCACTCCTTACCAGTAGCCTGGGCTAAAAATGTCATAGCCTTTGGGAAGGAAGTGGTTGAAAAAGAATGAGAGAAGGAAGTCGGTTTGTGTTTTTGTTTGTTTAAATCTTTGCTTTTAACAGTGTCATGATAATGTGCTGTGATAGTGTGATAATAATATGTGCCTTAAGTTTTAGTCTTTAGGGAGCCTTAACTTTTAAAACCATTCTGCTTAATTCATCCATTTTAAGTGTTCTGTTACAAGGAAAAATAACTAGTTTGAGGCAAATCTAAAATTTAAAATTAATCTTGCTTCATTGTTATTTGTAATAATAGTGTCGGACATTGTCACTAGAAGATTTGAAAGTTGGGGTTTTTATAAAATCCTGACTAAAATATTTTCCTAGCATCAATAGTTGCTTGGCATATGTGCCTGCTAGATATATATTTAGGAAACTTAAGGCATAAAACTTTGCAAACATCTTGGCTGTTCTAGACGCATGTACTCATCAGTACACCTCCTCCAGTATCTTTTCTTGGTTTGCTTATTAGAAGCCAAGTGCTTGAGAGTTGACTTCATTAAATTACTATTTTTGCTCCCCTTTCCAAAGATAAATTTTGAGTGGTCATAGATCACCGCCCCTTTTGAGATCACATAGTATTCCCCCCCCTCCACTGGAAAACTTAGTATTAAAATACACAAAACTGTGTATTTGTGCCTCCTCAGTAAATTAAACATAGACAGGCATTTCTAACAGCAGCTGAATTCAGCTTAGGTTTTTCCAAAACTTCAGTTAAACTGTGAGACTTGGAATCTTTTGTTGTTGTTTTTCCTGGAATTTTCCCCCTTTGATTCATAGTGGTTCCATTTATATCCACATCTAGCTTAGCACTGTGTGTGAGATAGTCTTTGTGTGTTCAGTTTTTTGGGTTTTTTTAAAAAATATTTGCTAATTAAAGAGACCCATAGAGATTTGGCCCACACAAACCAATAAGGATAAGATTGGGAGAGAAGTTGCTATGTTTGCTTTAATAAGTAACTTGTTTTCTTTTTCTTATAAGGCCTTAAAGAAAATTAATGTTTTGCTTAGAATTATTAGATACATTCTTACTCTTTACATAAACCTAAAGATTTTGTGACCCTTTTCACTTATCTGAAAAGTAGAGAAATGGGTTTAGTATAAGGATAGGAAGGAGGATGGACCAGAATGAAAACTGTAAATATTTTTTCACCTAATATCTTTTAAATGGTGGCAGGAGGATAATGATAGACAGTCAATAAATTATATTCAATGCATTTTAAAATATCATTGTAATTGACAGTGTGAAAGTATAGATATAAAACCTTCAGAGGCTGGCTTTTTAAAATAAACTTTTTTTTTTTTTTAAAGAAACGTTTCTTCTTCCATGTGCTTATTTTCTTGAGGAAAATATTTTGTGTCTTCATTTTTATTATCAAGATTCAATTTGGCCCTTCCTAATGTAAATTATTCAGCTTATGTGTGTTGGGATTTGTGTATATGGCTTATTTTGATTTTTCTCCTTACCTCTTCTTTAAGGCAACCAGGAGGGGAATTTTTTGAAACGACCTCTCTGAAAGCATTTTGAAACCAGAGCAGTTAATCTTAAGGATACAATGAAAGCTCCCCTTCTGTGCCCAAGTATCATGACAGATGGAGGAGGAATTTTAGTGGAGAAGCCTACTGTGATTGTTGGCAGGCTTGGCTCCAGTTTGGACTCTGCCATTTTCCATGGACTTAACCTCTGTGTACCTGTTTCCCCTTCTATAAAAATGAGGATCACCCTTGAGTAAAGTAATACAAGTAAAAAATGTGAGGTGGGGGGAGTAAACCTGGTGTATGAGATGATTTTTCCCCATCCCAGTTGTTAAGCTACATCCACACATAAGACCCTACTTAGTCTTTTTCCATTAGTTGAATCTTGTTAGTGAAGTGAGGGGTTTTGGTGCAGACTGACCATTTATTAGAAGGAAGTGTTCTGAAGTTGCTGTATTCTGAAGCAAAGTTTAAAAACTGGCTCAAAGCTGGACTAAACAAACCTTTTATTACCCAGTCCAACTCTGACTTTTTCCCACCGAAGATACAAGCTTAAGGGATTTATTCAAGATCAAGTTTGGTAACAGAGCCAACACTAAAACCCGATATAGGCCTACTCTGCCATCTATTCCTTGTTAACAATCAACTAATCCTCTCTGTGTTGCAGTGTTGTGTTCAACACTGGATGCATCTGGGCTCTCTGACTGGACAGTCTGTTGTCCCTTGCTCCATATGAGGATTGACTACTTAATTTTATTTCAGTTGACACAGCTTCAGTGGCTGCTTTGGGAGAATAGAGTACCTGCCTATCTTTGCGTTGTTCCACACTCCGTAAGTCACGGAGAACATACAGCTCTCTAAGTAGTTGTGCCCAAAGAGGCTTGGGGCTGTTCAAGAGTATACTCTGGAATAGCCTCCCAATTCAAATCTGGAAAATTATTTAAGAAACGGATAGGTTGGACATTTGTAGATGATCATGATAACAAGATCATATTATCACATTATAGTCCTCTATTGAGAACTGAAATTATCTTAAACTATTCAAAATAAATAATTTCTACAAAAAATACTCAGGAAAGGATGATGCTAAAACAAATTATGGAAAATTCAGGGAGGTATTTTTATCCCTGATTTAATCCCATTGATGAATAATCCTCTTATTCTTGGGTTGTGTGAATTTAGTAGTTTGTGCCATAGATTATATATGTCAATATTAATCCTGTATTTTAAAAAGGAAAAAAATTGTTAAAAGCCATTTAATATATGAGGCAATGTTTTATTATATTGAATTTCAGATTGATAAATTGGGTATTGGTTTATATGAAAAACCTCAGTGTCTGGGTTTTACACCTTCCCTAGCAAATGGTTCACAGTGTAATAAACTTAATTATCAGGTGTGTGCCCCCTGCCCCCTCCTTATGGTTGGAAAGATGAGGAAAGGTTAACAGTAAATTTCCACCTTTGCAACAACATGGCTTGTTTTAATCAGCTCAGGCACTTGAAGAAAGAGGTTAGTGATAGACTTCTGTCACTGTGAAAACTTGATAGGGAAGTGATGGCCTAAACTTGCCTGGCTTGCCCAAATGTGAGAAATTAAGCCAAACCTCCTTAGATGCTTCTAATCTGAAGCATCTAAGGAGGTTTCAAGTACATCGTTCCTGAAACGTGTTCTAGCTTTGTATCCTTTCCCCCATTTAGTCGGGGCCATAGTGACAATCATTCAATTGAGAGTGATTGGCAGAGTATCTTTCTCCTCAGCTGAACAGCACTGATTTATTTACTTTTTGCTGACTTTTACCTTGACTTGCTAGAGGAGACTGGAATAGCTAGCAAAGGAATCACAGCCTACCGGTTGCTTAACAATATAGACTGCTAGGGTTAAGCATCAGATGTTTTCTTTTGTAAGGTATTAATAGTACCATCCCCCACTAGGGTTGTCAGGAAGGTTAGTTGATATGTGACAGCTTGTGTTAAGTAAGGGCTTAATAAGGGTAGGCACCTATTAAAAAAAAATCAAAGAAAAGTGGTACCTGGGGAAAAAACTGAGCTCTTCTAATTTCCAAGGTGGGTGGAGCCTTAACATGCAGAGGATAGCTCTAAGGGAGTGACTCTTAAAGATAAGACTATTAGCTAAATGATCAAAAACTGTCCTGTTGGATCAGATCCTCCGTTTAGTCTTACAAATGTAGTGGTCTTTGTTTGGAAATGAATGGAAACTAACACCTCATGAGGTTGTTGCATATATGTCCCGGCTCTTTAAGTAAGATGGATTTGAATCCCAAAGCCCTTGCTCTTTGTACTCTGCCTCCACAAGGAAGACACCTGATTAGCAACTGACAATCTTTTCCCCTCAATATCTGTGATGATTCTTAAAGAGCAGAAATGTAACTAGTAAACCAATCGTGAGTCCTTTGTCCCTAGCAATGTTCTTAAAGGTAAACTGAAAGATTGATGAGATTTTTATTTTTCTCTACTATATCAATAACATGACTTAAATTATAAATTATCATCAGTTGGTGGCTCAATAAATTGGTACAACAATATTGGCAAAGCAATTTCATAATATGTGTCAAATACCATGAGTTCACATCTTTTCCCTAAGAATTCCAGACTTGGAATTTATATAAGAAAATTGTTCCTTTGAAATGATCAATTTCTTGTATCAATAACTATTTAAACAGATGGTTATGAAGTCCTTATGATATATTCACAGCACAATGTTAAATGAAAAAAGCAGAACACAAACTACCATGGTGTGTGTGTGTGTGTGTGCATAATATATACATATGCACAGGGGATAAAGGACATACACAAATATACTAATTTTGTGAGCCTGGTAAATTTAGAGGTAACGTTTGTCTATATTTTTTCCACATTCTAAAGTTTCTTGATGTCATGGTTACTTTTATACTAAAAGAAAATATTTAATGGAGCACATAATACTGGTTTACAGAGAGGAAAAAACAGTACCTTTGATCTAGAAGAGTTCTGGCAAGAGACAGATGACTCCTAAGAAAATGAAGCTGATAATTATTACAAACAGGTTTTATTTTTCTGCTTCAAGAATTGCATCTGGTGAAAGGAAGGTGAATGAGATGGAAGTCAAGAGCACAGTGGTCTCTAGCCGTGATTTCGCTGGTGCTGGACCAAAGCTGTATGTAGAGTGTAGAGTCCACGGGCTGCCTGTGTCAACCACCAGTGTCTCCTTCCTGAGACGGTGCTCTTGGGGACAGCATTCCTGCAGTTCCCCTTGCAGTCATCATTCAGCTGCAAGTGAATGTTTAACTCAGGAAGCCAGAGCATTCCGCACTTACCCACGTTACAGTGTTAACGGTTGTCGAACATTATCTTACTGAGATCAGCATCAGAAAACAATACTATGATGTCACAAAAAGTAGAATTTGCTTGCCCGAGCAGCTATTTTAGTTTATTTACTAACAGGTATTTACTGGACCCTTACTAGTTCCCCAAGCATTGCTCTAGGCTTTGAGAATCCAGTCATGAACAAAATGTCTTTCTATGCATCTTACCTTCTAGTAGGGGAAAGCAGACAGTGAACAGTAAGTTATAAGGAAAACAGCAATATTCAGAAAAGAGCAGTGGACATAAGATCAGCCTTCATTAATTCACCTAAATAGTATTTTTTGGAGCATCATCTATGTGCCTATTTCCTAGATAGAAGGGATAACAGTGATCAGGATGCAGTTCCTGGCACCCCCAGCTCCTAGTCTAGTGGGGGAGACTGCATAGTAAGTGCTGTGATGGGACAGCACATGGAGAAGTCTCTAACCCAATCTCAGGAGGGCCTAAAAAGGACAAAGAGTATATACTCGAGCAAGTTAATTTCTGAGCCTCTTTGGTAAGTTAAACATAATGAAATTATTGTGCGGATTGTGAATGTACACTGCATACAGCTGAGTGCATAGTAGTGCTGAGTGCATAGTAGTACTGAGCTCATAGTAGTTTTAAAAATTAAATAGTGTCAGTTGTCATCAACCAGGACAATAAAGAACATGCGGTAATATTTGTATAGCTCATCAGAGTGTACAAAGGCCTTTCAAGTACGTTCTCATTCACGCACAATCCTAGGGACGTGGGTATAAATGAAAAACACTGACCCTTTAGCTGGCACCACCCCTCCCCCACCCCTGCTGTCAGAAGGGTGCAAAGCAAGACTGCAGACAGCTCAGCTGCTAGAGCTAAATGTTGTACTGGGTGGAAGTTTGGAAACACGAGAATGAAAGAGGTTGAATCCTGGATAATCTTGAAGGGTGAATAGAGACCAAACCAATCACTTGGATCCTGCACCAAAATAAGTAAAATGGTCCTGTCTCCAATGAATTCACAATCTGATTTACAATCCTTTTCCTTGGCTTTGGAATTCATAATGTGATTTCTTCAGTTGTGGGATTTCCTTTCCTAATATGCTTTACTGATTCCAGAATTAAAAGTTTGCATTTCCTGAGCTTACTCTGGCCAGGTCCCAAGAGGAAGTGGCCAGCAGCCATTAAGAAGCCAGGAGGGGAACTGGGCTGGGATTAAAAATCACCTGGTGTGCTGACAATCTGTATGTCTGTAATTATTAAGAGAAGGTTTATAATAATTCTTGTCATTGTGTTTTATCTTTATTTTCCTAACTCATTTTTTTCCCCTTGAGGCTAAAAGAAAAGTGCCTGGGTACTTTTGTGTCAGGCCCTATTTACATATGCTTTTCAGAATGCGAAGAACCCTTTTCCTTTTAAATCCCAAGTACTATCTTGTTTCTCAAATGCTAAGAATGAGCATAAACAGGCCTGCAGTAGATGGAGTTCTGAGCTTTGGAGGGCTCTAAACTACCTGCGTCCCAGCCTCTCCCCATTCCCACCTCCACGTACCTCATCGGTTGCCCGAATGTATAGATTGAACTGCTGTACATACTGTTTCTCCTTGCAATGCTTTTCCTT